CTTTCGTTACGAACTGTCAAACTAACGTGTCTTTAGAAAAAACAAAATCTTCTTTACGTTTGTAATCTATGGGTACTTAAGATTACGTATACGTTTTCTTTTTCCATGAAGTTGTCATCCTCTTAAAGAAATATAATTAAATAAACTCTAATGTTAACATTACTTGATCAAGAATCAATTTAATCAAAGAGATATCTTGAAATCGTATTAAAAAGTATCGTATTTACGTATAGGTATACAATTGACATACTTTCCACGAAAGAAAGCATTCCTTTCTTTAATTAACATACTAATTAAACCCCCTTTCGTGATTTAAATATTAAATTACCTTTTAAATTTCATTATACGATGTCAAATGTTTTATTCTCTTATTAGTTAAAATCAATTTTTATTTTCCTATTTTCATTTAATTATATTTCTTTCTAGTAACCACAAATTAATGATATAAAAATATAATTATAGATAAAAAAATAAATTATTACGTTCTGTGTCATTATTTATCTCTTACATCAAATAAATATATTTCCTAACAACTTCATTTTAGATTTCTGTTCTTTTTTTTTCTTGATATATACGATTTAATTCAAATTATATATAATATATGAATATAATATTATAATCGATAATGAATTTTTTTTTTAATTATAAAAACCTGAATAAGAAAATGTATGCAAATTTAAAATAAGGAACTTTTAAACGACATCGGGGGTCTCGTTTCACTTATACCGAATGATTCCTTTTTCTCATGGGATTACATCGATTCCCAAGATGAAGAAGGATCAAGGAGGGAGGTGGGGGAGGAAGAGGAGGAGGAGGAGGTGGATGGACGTTAATTAAATGGCCCACGTCGATGTGAGACAACTGGATCGACAGTCTTCGTTTCGTTATCGTACAAATCAGAGACATACATCCCACCAATTATTTCTTTCTTTCTTTCATATAGTTTTTTTTTTCTCTCTCTCTTTCTTTCTCATGTCAATGAAATAAAATATAAACGTTGTTGATTAATTATAAAAAATATAGGACACCGTTGTTAACGAAACAAATTATCGAAGTTACTCTAAAAACATTCATTGTGTTTTATTTTAATTAAATTTAATTTTGTTTCTTTATAACACTCTTTTAAAACGTTAATAAATATTTTTAACTAAATAATAAATTATATTTAATTAATATTTAAGTGTTTCTTTTTTCTGTTTTAATATAATTTTCATGTGATATAGGACTCAAGAAATAATAATTAATATAATAATTAATATTACATTATATTTTATATTCATGTGTATGTATCTCCATAGCATAATTTATTGTATTTGATATAAAACAATATTTAGAAAAAGAATTATTTATTGTAGCTGATGTAAAAAAACAACGAGAATAATTATAATGGAAGATTAAAAATGTAGATAATTCGTAGAAAGTATAATAGCATACGAGATTTTGCTTTTTGAATCTGTAATTAATTATTTTTTCATTAGCCAAGGGTGAAAGGGTGAGGGAAAGGAAGGAAGGAAGGAAAGAAGGGAAAATCTTTTAAGCTGATTAATAATCTGTAAAAGTAAAAATATAAAAGGGTCGGAACCTTGGTTGTAGAATATTAAAGTAATCAGTATTAATTACTCTACCTGAGATTTTTGTAATACAGATGGTGGGTGAGTGGGTGGGGGGATATTATGTGTCTATTAAAAAAGTATTATACGAATGGTTTCAAGCGGATTAAAAATTAAAAAAAGAAGAAGATATAGAAAGAAAGAGAGAGAATAATTATAGTTTAAAGATTTTTAATTAATTTTATACAATAAAACGAATCGTTTTTGTTTCAAAGCTAATTTTAAGAGTACATATAAATACTTATTTACGTGTTGTTACAAATACATATAAAAAAAAAACCTCGACAAAGTTTAAATCGAGGTGATCGAAGTAGGCCAATTTCGAGACAACGTGTTACTGGTCGTCCAATGAACAAAAAAGAAAAAAGAAAAAGAATAAGGACGAAAAGCAAAATTCTTTTACCGATCGTAGACCAAAAAAAGAAAAGAGTTGAAGAATTTTCAACGTGTTAGCATATAAACTTTACGTTCCTTTTTTTTTTTTTTTAATCGAATAGAAGACGAGTAGCATACTTTATAAACATGTATACTCTTTTCTTTTCAGATTTTTCCTTCTTTTTCAATTGCTACTAATCGATATATATCCACTTATTTAAAGTTTAGAACATGTCCGTGTCCCAGAACTCGATTGTTCGTTGTTGAATTCGGGTCAAGTGTGTTCCACACTTGGATGAGTATATTTTTATATCGATGGCCTCCTTTTCTTTTTTATTTTCCAACGACTACGATGATAATAACGAAAGGAACGATCCTTATTTTCTTCTCGAAAATTTTCACGAATTTATTCGATAGTGTTTCGTATTAATATTTCATTCCCTCTGTCTCTTTTTCTATCCTTCTTATATAATTATATTATTTTATTGTTTTTCTATTTTTCATTTATATCACATTAAAAGACAAAATGTATTTAACTTAAAACATTGATAATTCGTTCGGAAAATTTATATGTAATTCAATGAATTGTTTCTCTCGTTCAAAAATAAAATTATTAATAAATATGTGTACTAGGGAAATGGGACAGTATAAATAACTAGAACTTTATTTTAATCAAATTAAACGTTTCGTAACTTTATTAGAACTTCTTCAGTAATTGACAATTTTTTATTATTAATTTTATGAGCAATTTTTTGCTTGAATCTTTCACGTCCGAGTGTTGTCAATTGCGTAAATGCTAAATCTCTTTTACGAAAGGGCCCTTGTACATATTTAACAAACCATTTATATATATATACGTATATGTGTTTTTGACATTGCATATGTGTACGTGTAAAAACCTATGCGTTGTATGCGTCGCAACAGCAGTCGCCGGGCTTTTATTCCGCACGAAGTGACACACCTACGTAGATCTTTATTCAGTACCGGATACCTGGATGTTAAACGTGCCGACCTACCGCAAAGCGATCTCGACATCGTGGATTTCCATGTCGTTCGTCTATGGAAATGTCGCTGCTTGTCCGTTTCGTGCGATTTCGTCGTCTAGAAATAAGTTGCAGAAAGAAAGAGAGAGAAAGAGAGATTGGATGTCCAAGCATCGTTGTCTTTCTCTCTTTTATTATTATTTTTTTGACTGTATTCTCTTATCTCGTTGAAAAACCATTCGAGAGAATATCAATTGGAATTTAAAAAATTAAGGAATCAAAAATAATGATTTAATTTGGATAGATTATTGTAACAATTATTTTTCTAATGGAATATTTTTTTGTAGGAATATCTTAGAAAAATTCTCGGTGTAGGATTTTATTTAAATTTGATGTATAAATTATTACGATTGTTATTAAAAATTCGTTGAGATATTAGATTATTTGAATATTGATTGCTGTATGTTATATAAATTCTTTTTAAATTCCACAAACCCCAATGGAAATTGAATTTTAAATTTGTAATTGATAAATATATAAGTAAATGTATAATTACATATATATATATATAAATACTTGTTAGTTTCTCTTTCGTGAAATCGAAATGAATAAGATAGGTGTATTATAGGCACGACGGGATCCTATAAAATCCTTCCCTTTTCACCTCAACGGGTGGTCCGATTCCGAATGCAAAGAGAATCCTCCAGTATGCAACATCTTTGAATTCGTATGCATCGACAACTTTTCTCGTCAAATTTTTCCGCATAATTACACATACGTTTAAAGATGCATCTTCATCCTAAGTAATAGACATATATATATATTATTTTATTTAATCCTAAACCACTATGTTTGTAATTAATATCAATGATATATGGTTGATTGATTAAAACAGAAGAATAATTACTTTTATAATTGAGTTTAAAAAATAATAGTTGATTATCTGTTCTCTATCTCTTTCCATCTTTCAATATATTTATTTCCCACTCTCTCTTTATTTCTTTTTTTTCATGGTGTTTTTTATTTTTCTCAGTAGGGTTACAAGTAAACGAGGTACAACGACGTTATTCCTTGACGATTGAATGGGTACCGTCTGTGCATTCCGTCCACCTCGAAAGTTTTTCTTCCTTTTCTCCCTTTGGCCTCGAAGAACGTCGATGTCGTTCCTACGATATACACGTGTGTGTGTGCGTATGTAAGCTTACATACACGTATACAGGGTGTTTCTAAAATAATTTCGAATAGTTTGGTATATATATCTAAAATATTTGGAAATAAAATTGATTGAATTTTATCAACACCTGAATTATAATTCATTTCAATTTAATAATACCTTTGAAATTAATTTATTTTATAAGTTTTGTGTAACACACTCAACAAAAAAATATGAATTCATTATTAACTCGATTATGTGTGCGTGTGAAGAAAAAAGAAATTGTTTTTAAGAAAGAAGATAAAGTGTGTCAGGAAAAGAACGTACGTTCGCGAGCTCGTGTTAAACGTTTCAACTTAATCACCCTGTATGCAAGTATACACACATACACACACACGAAATAAAGAACGCGTTTCTCGTCGCGGATGCTGCTTTTTCCCGACGAAACCTTCATTCATCCAATACGACGATACGATCTCATTGAGAAAATCGCAAACGTCTCGTTCCACCGATGCCGGTTTAATGAACGTCAAGAATTCTTTTAAGAGAAAAGAAAAGATACTCCTATCTATCTATGTATATATATATGTAATATGTGTCTATGTATGTATATAAGTACAATGAATATAGGAACGAGAACATTTCTTATAATATTCTTGTTACTCTTAGACAAGTATATAACAAATAAAAGAAAATGATTTTCTCAAATGGTTATAATCATCATTCGTGTATATATATATATGTGTGTGTATATATGTATTTAGTAACATACGTGAGTTTAAAAAGAATCAGATAGAATGAGAGAGAAAATAAATTGTTTATTCGACAAGAAACAAGTCCGATGATAGATTTTTAATCGTTCATTTTTTGCTTTCGCAGAAATCGAAGCACAAGAGGCTTGCAAGTGGTTACGTGCTGCTGGTTTTCCTCAATACGCACAAATGTACGAGGGTGAGTATATCTTCTTCTTTTTTTTATTATTTTATTTTCTTATATAATTAATTATAAAATACACTGTTAATATTTTCATTGACAAATTTTTATTAAAAAGAATTTAGACACTGTGTGTATCTACGAACAAAACGGATATCCCTTTTTATCAATCAACGAAATGGAAACCAAAAAAAAGAAATGCTTAACGACAAAGCGATAAAAGAATGAGAAATTTAATTTTAGATTAAACAAAAATCTCTTAAGTGTAATAGAAAGAAATGTCAAAGGGGTGTCTCCGGCCATCATTCGTGTCTTTACATTTCTTTTTTTCATTTCATTTCCATTCGTCTTTATTATTTTCTTTCTTTGAATGGTCGACAATGTGCAATTAAAATGTGACTTCTGAGAGAGGAGAAGTCGAGAAACGAGTTCATCCTCTCGTTCTCATTCCATTTTCTTTTTTCAACGATCCTAATTCAATTTCTTTTACTCAGGAAAGAAGAAAAGTGGACGGGTGGTGAAGGGGGAAGGGTGAAGGGGTTAACAAAAAGATAAAGAAAGGATGTTGGATAAAAGTGTGTTTTATTTCTAACAGAGAAATACTCAGGTTCCTTTTTTTTTTTTTTATTTTTACCCCTTGTTCAACCAACCCCCAAGATTTGTATCGTAAAAGAATACCATTGGTTGATAATACTAGAATAATCTTTAAGCTATAATCATAAAACGATCGGATATGAAAACCACGTTTATCTCGTGAACGAATCATCATTGTACGTTAAAGTCAAACCTAAGAGTGGAATAAAAGGATGGAGACGTGAGTTTTTAAGAGAAAGGGTTTAAGGTAAAAATAGTAAGCCAGTTTTCTTCGTAAATACTTTTCGTATATTATTTTTCAATACATAGATGCATTTTTAAGGAGTAATACGTGATCAGACTAGCGTGCACCATTTTAACTTTGGTTTTTTTTTTTTTCTTCGACGAAAAAATCACTCGAGAATTTAACCCCAGTCGTGGGAGTGGAAGGGAGAGGGGAATATCGTAAATATATAGGTACATGTATTATATATTTGTGTATACGTGTATATATGTATGTATGCATGCATTTATGAAAGATTTTAACAGAAGCAACGAGGGTATGGGGGATACAGAAGGATTTGAGAAAAAAAGAAAAAAAATTAAATAAAAAAAAGAGAGTTAGGAAAGTGTCCGGTTTCAGGATTCTTTTAAAAGAGAAAAATTGTGACAAGGAGAACAGGCTGCTCCAGTATGAGATGGACCACCAAAGGCGAATCGATACGTAACGGTCTTTTCGAACGTCAAACGTGCCATGAAACGACACAATATTATTCCCATAATCGTTTTATATATATATCAAAGGAACAATACTAACGTTGTGCGTTTATAATTATTCCTAACTAATCGGGTGGGGGGAAGAGAATATCGAAAAATAAAAAAGTCAAGATTTCAAACTTGAATTTCGAATATTATATTAATTATTTCTGATATTATATTAATTATTTCGAATATTATATTAATTATTTCGAATATTATTTCTTACAAATAATGATTTTTAATTTATTTATATTCTATAATATACAGGTGAAGAATAAGAAGAAAGTGAGAAGAATAAAAATAAATAAAAATGTTAAATAATTAGAAAAGATTTTTAAGAAACAATTGATTAAAGATTTACGTATAATGTATAACTAATATATACACATGCATACACATATATATATATATAGGAATGACGCTAATAAGGTGCTAACGAGCTTGGTGTGTCCAATACGTGTGTTCGTTCATTCGTTTGTGCACGCTGGTGCACACAACGTGGGCAGGAACGTGAGCAGGAACGTGAGCTTTCGTTGTGTCAGTGTCAGTGTAATTGTGTTGGTCGTCCTGAGCTATAACGAATGCATTGTTGGTGGACGTCGCGACAAAGGGCCCATTATGAGATGTATTAACATGTTCGGACGCATCACTGAACGGCTTCGTAATAATTTACTCTAAGTTTGACTCGCACCAATCCGATCCGGCACTGCCCACGTGTCGTTGTTATTATAATTATATTATTTTTATGTTATACGCTTCTACAAATCATTTACTAACACACATACTTATTTTAATATAATTAAATATAAAATAATTATACTCATAAGAATTTGATTTGTAATGGGAAACGTTTGTTTCAATTTCTTTACTTTTTAAATATTTTATCGTATGTACCTGCGTGTATGTGTACGTGTGTATTGTATGACGTAATACATTCCGTCGTTGTTATATTTTTCCTTTTATTTTTATTATTTTTATCTTCCCTCTATTAAAATCGTCCTCTCTTTTCTATTTTTTTTTTCTTCTCTCTTTCTCTCTTTCTTTTTATAATTCTTTTTTTTATTTTTTTCCCCTTTCACACACCCATATTCTTGGCTTTCCCCATCAAGGTTAAATCTCGTAAAAGGTTGCTCGCTATTGTTTTAACACGCGATCGATCACGGTCTATGTTTATCCTTATAATTTATATCGACCTAACTTGCATCTCTACTCGTCGTGCAGATAATTTTTGTCTATTTTTTTTTCTCTTTTTCTTTTTAAGAAACCTTTTTTTAATTATTTCACTTTTTTTTTTTTTTATTTATTTCACTTCTTTTTTCTCCTGTACGCAAGATATAAATAAATGAAATTTTCATGAACGTGAGATGATAAACTATATAGATCTCGAATAAAAAACAGATATATGTGGTATGAGAAAAAAAAAAAAAGAAACTTAGGTCGCATAGTTTTTCTTTAAATTTATTAAATAAAACGCGTGAGTTAAATTTTGCGTTAAATTATATGAGTAACGTGATTCATTTTGTATAGAAACGTTATAGTATGTAGTATTATCATTACTGTCTCGAGTGCATGTTTAAAAAAAAAAAAAGAAAAAAATCTATAATATTATACATCGTGTGTTTCGAGATATCATTAGTGTCAACTTTAAGAACTACGACGAATGATTATTTCATTTGTACAATTAACTCAGAACTAATAATATTTCGAACGGGCGTTAATACAATGATTAATAACGTGCCTTATTTTTTTTTTCTGTTTCAAAAGAAAAAAGATAATAATGTAGTTCCAGATCAAATTTTCAGAATGTTGATTGAGATTTACGCAATCTTTATTTTTTAGCTTCCTGTTCTTTTCTCTTGTAAAAAAAGAAAATTTCAATAAATAAAAAAAAATCTATTAAAGATGATGGATGTAAAAGAGGTGAGACTTTATTAAATTAAATAGATGATGAAGATCTATAAATATGGCTGAGTTCATCGCAAAACGTGTAGTATAAAAAGTGAATACCCATTATTCTATGTTCTTCGTTCGATAAGAAAAAAAAAAAAATGAAAGGCTCGAATGAATCAGCGTTAATGTTCATCGAGAAAAATCTTACGATCTCTTCATTTTCGCAATTATATTATTATTATTAATTATATAAAAGTATTAAATTTAATTTTATTAAAAATAGTAAGGAATATAGAAAAACAAAAAGATATATTAGTATCGTATTATAATATATTCGAAGAATAATAATAAAAAGAATAAGAATGAGGAAAAGAAATAAAAAACGAGATATTAATGATCCTACTTAAAAAGTTATTAAGGATAGTTAACGAGATTGTCGATAAAGGAAAAAGACCAGATCCCAAAAAACAAAAAAATAATAAACTGTAGCTAGATGTTTGGTCATATCATCAATTTCTCTCGTGTCGTTGCGAAACTAATCGTTAAATGCGTGTAACTAACATAAGCTGGGAACATTGCATCATTGCATCAACAACAACAACAACAACAACAACAGCAACGAAGAAGAAGAAGAAGAATAAGAAGAAGTTAGAAAAAGAAAAATCACTAGTCACGGTAGAAAGATGGTCGCCTTTCCATTGGCTCGTTAACTAAAAAAAAAAAAAAGAAACAGGTAAAAGGAAGGAACGAGTGAGAGTTCGAAAGGGTCTACTAACCCAAGCCTTAGTTTGACGACGGTGACTAAACGTAAAACGTGGCACGATCTCTCAAAGAAATAGAAGGAAGGAAGGAGAAGGGTTTTTTTTATGAAATTTCATGGTCAAAGCGTGAAATTCAATCGAGAAGAAAATGTAAAAAAAAAAAGAAGAAGAAGAAGAATATTTATCGTATCAAACGTTTCAAAAGAAAAACAAAAAAACAATTTGTATTCTAGGTTTGGGAAAATGACATCGAAATGTTAGGAAAATTATGAACCTTCGTCAGGTGGTTGTCGTTGTCATCATCATAATCATCATCATCATCATTCTATTCTTTACTATCTTTAACAACTTGGCACCCAATCAATTTATAGTTAGCAAAAATTATACGAGAAAACTGTTGCCAAGATTATTTCGATTCGGTCTGTAACTAAAATTAAACATGGGCTACTGCTCCTAGTTTTCTTCTTCTTCTTTTTATTTTTAATTTTCTTTTTGATTATTGTCGTCGTTTTCATCGTGGCAAAAGTCACGATTCACGAAATCGTCGAGGTTCGGAAGCACGTGTGAACTCTTTTCCCGTTTCTTTCGACTGCCATTGGCCCCTTGGAACGATGCCCATAAAATTTTCTTTCTCTTTCTATCTTTCGACGAATATACGAAAGATGGAAAGAGAAAATTGAGAGAGAGAGAGAGGAAAGATCTTACATCCTATCTCTGTCGTACTTTCTTTACACATTTGACATCGTTACTTTTCTTTCTTAATTCAATACGAAACCCACAAAGTTTATTACCTACTTTGTTCATTTTCTTTTTCTTAAATTATATGAAAGTAAAAGAGTATTACTAGTATTTCTACTAGAGCTAGACAATCTGTCTACTTTACTCGGAATCATTTAAAAGAAATCATAGTTGTATAGAAATGAATTTTTCATTAATTCTCTTTCTCTCATCATTTTAATTAGTTGCATATTGAAGAAACTTAATATCACATTGAAAGTAAATTTTATTTTATTTTATATCTTAACAAAAATTACA